GCAGTGATCGGCATGTTCACGGCTAGCGCTCCCAGTGCGTGCAAGCCAGTACAACGGACATCACAAGGACAAGGGTCGGTCCTAAGATGCTTCGCCCCTAAATGTTATCTGTGCCCCCTGGCTCTTGATAGCGCAAGCTCTGATTGATACGTGTGGTTTAATGTCCCAAAACCATCATATGATTATGAGAGATGCCGTAGTGGAAAATTTTCGAACACCTGAAGTTTTTTTATTGTGCACCTAAATCTGAGTACACGGGCCTACAGCATTTTCACCTCCATCAAAAATGCATCTGTGGCAGCCAGGATTCGATCTCGCGACCTGTAAGTCAGTAGCTGAGTACTAGAAAACCGCAGCGGGGCTGGAAGCGTGAGCTCGAAGGAATGCTTTGGCTCTTGTATGCTTATGCCAAAAAATGGAAAGAACGAGACGGCTGAAGTAGAATTATAGTATATAGTTCACATTGTGATCAGAATAGATGTCAGGAGGGAATATGTGCCATGGATTAATGTGCCGCTGACAAGCGCCGTCTTTCGCGTGCTCTCCAGTCGCGTGCTCTCCAGGTGTGCTCGCCGCCCAAAAGAAGGTGCTACAGGAACTTGGGAAAACACGATCTCAAAAGTTTGAGGGTGGCCTGCGTTCTGCGCATGTGCCCTACCGGCTTGCAAATTTCTTGGATCCCTCAGCTTCTTGGAAATTCTCTAGTGTTTCCCAGGAGTTGAGATGCGTGCCTCCCATTTGTACTTCGACATGTAGGCGTGGTCGCTTGAGCTCTCACCCTTTTCTCTTGAGAGGGAATTTTATACGTCTTGTGCTTTCACTGCAAAGTTTGCATTGAAGCTGTAAACTGCACGAAGGTTACTTTGCTTTCCGCAGTGGGTGCATTTGCAAAAGCGATGAGCTACTGGCTAAATAGCCACAGTAGAGATTAGTTGAAGTAACAAGTATGGCTGCTACTTTTGTCTATGCCTGCGCAATTTTTTCTCACGCGTTCTTCTTTGTGTTTGAACATCGTGTAATGTCTATATCTGTGATAGATTTGTAGCGAGAGCTACACTAACCGTATTTGTAGATTTGCAGTGAAAGCTACACTGACTGCATTTCGCAGTGTAGATGAAATTAGTCGTTGCCTCATAACTGGCAACTGGTGGCAGCACCGCTCACCGCGCCATCTGGCATGACATCGGAGGAGGAGCTGGTGAAACCGTATTGGAACAGCAGAAGAGGAGCCGGTGTTGCACCCTATATTAGTGAATGGGCAGCAGGTGTTCTCTGGAGCGGCTCAGTAGGATTCGTCGGCAGATGTGGAAAGTGAGTCGGAAAGACTGAAAGAAGCTGGTAGGTGTTCAGTGGCAATGCTTTATCATCGAAATTAAACCAAGAGGAGGCAGTGAGCTGAGGAGACGAAGGTAAAAGGAGCCGTACGCTGAAGCGTCGCAAGTATGAAGCGGCCAGGGGAGTGCATTCAGATGAGGATGATTCGTCGTCTATTTTGGCATCTCGTGCCAGGGTGGCGGATCTACGACAGAATAAAACCAGGAAGAGGCAGCGAGCTACAAGTGCAGAAAAACAATGGGTCCGGCATATCGAACTGAGAGAACAAAGTGACACAGTTCAGAGAGCGGTGCACCTAGTCACCGATACCATGCAGTTGGACAATGTAAATCCTCGCCGTGTGATGGACCAGGTCATTCGTCTGGCTGAAAGTTCAAGTGCGATGCGCATGTTCCAGTCCAAACATAGTTTACCGACACGTTATTGGACTTGCACGTGTCGTTTGTGAAAGACCTTGAAATATGCGAGATTCGAGTCCACTGATTATGGAAGTGCGTGAAAAACTTGGTTATCAAGGGTGTAGCCAGTAGGAGGAGGGGGGGGGTGCTCACTCTCCCGATAATTTTCAATCTTGCTGGGGTGTATACACACGCACTCGTGCAAATGTGTGCGCAAACATACACAAACTATGGCTGAATCCCCTCCCACTAAAAAACATTCTAGCTACGCCCTTGCTTGATTTAGCCGTGCCTGAGTTGGGGGAAGAACAAGAACCCATGTAGCAGGCATTGCACTACAAACGGGACTCAAATTTCACATATACCGGGGTATTTCATGAATGTCACTCGCAAATGGAAAGGATTTGCTCTAAAGTTTGTTTTAATCTAACCATAATGAACGATATTTAAAAACCAATCCTAAAGACTCAGACCTATGAAGCTAAATGATAAAAATGTAATTGTACAGTGTTGTGAAGAAAAGGACAAGCCGCCGTGCCCATGGCATAGCTCACTCATTGACCTCTTCTTTATTCCGAAAGCCAGTCTAATCGCTGATGATGATCGTGACTATCTTCGTCGTTCACACAATATTTAACATCCTCCGGGCCCCCACATTAACAATTGTTGATGAAGAACACTAACACACACCAAGTTCGAAGCACACGCTGTTCAAAAGTACTTGTATAAGTCCAGGTCAGTCTATGTGGGAAAATCTGTGATATACAACCGCGTCTGCTTTTCCAGCGGTGCTTTCGCATTCGTTCCACACTTGTGCTTCTGAACGCGTTGACCTCTATGAACCTGCTTCGTCGCTGAGCAAGTTTCCTTGGCATGAAAATTCGCAGATAAGACTCTTCCAGGAAGATCTCCTGTGGCTATACTTGATGAGCCTTTTCCTTTGCTTTCTGTTCGTTGCTACATTTACCATACAACCCTTCTGCTTCCGCCTTCGTCTAGTCTCTTTCATTCGCCGCTGTTGCACTGTGTCGGCATTTATCAACTTTGTGGAAATAAGATGCGCAATGCACACCCTCTTCGATATTGACTTCTGTAGCCTTCTCGAAGAATCTAAGCTTTCGACAGCACAAGGGGCTGGCCCTTGTGTCGTCGTGGACTTTTGTTTCTTTCTTCTGTTTGTTGTCCCTTTGAGAATTGACCTTGATTTTTCCTCATCGAGCACTTGTACACAGGGCGATGAGGACTTTACAACGTCTAAATCTGCCAGCCTTGGCTTGAACGTATTCTCAACATCTAGTGGGTGGCCCTTTGGGTCTACAAAGTCTTCTCCCTTTTCAATCATGGTAATGCCTTCCACCTCGAACACCGGAGTTGTTGTAGATGTCTTGACAACAGGTTGTAGATGTCTTGACAACAGGTTCATGGGCATGGCATGCTGACGACAGCTCTGTAGGCATGGGCCAGGTCCTTGTAAGTAGCGGTTGTTCTGCGCAAGCTCCTTCGATGGTCGTTACTTCAGTGAAGGTCCTGATCGATTGGCTTCCACCACGCTCAAGAATGTGTCCTGAGGCTGACTTGACTGGCACCTGTGCGACAAGATTGCTGTCTAATAGGCCTTGGCTGGATGGTGGTGACGCAGATGCAGAGAGTGCCTTTCTTTCTGCTTCCATTTTAATCTGTAGTCTTGTTGTCTCCTAACGAGCCTGCCGTACCTTTAATGTGTTGGCGATGTTATATTAGGTTCTGACTTTCACTAGAATGATCTGACGCTCATAAACTTCCGCCTCCTCTGTCTCGTCTTCCAAATCATTGATGTCAACTGCCTCCTCTGTTTCCTGTTCGATTTTTCTGAGTTCCTCGTATTGCTCAGTCAAAACTCGGTGAATATTGCTCAGTCAAAACTCGGTGAATATGTCGTAACTCACAGATTAGTGGGCAATCCGATTGCTGAAAACGTTCGACGTCTGCGATGACCTGCGTGACGGCCCTGCATGTTTGAATCCGCCTTTCGTAGAGGGCCTCTATGATCAGGTCCGGTGTCGGAAACGTGAGAAGTCACTGGCCGGCCGTGTCATAAGGCGAAGTCGGAGTCGTCACGGCATCCATCGCAGAAGGTTCGCAGAACGAATATCTGTGACTTGTCGGGCTGTCATTCTTCGTGATCTTGTGCATGTCGGGCCATCGTAGTGAAGGGCGAGTTAGGACGGAGCCGAAGTAGACGTGAGGGCTCTCGTCTTGTGAACCTCCAGATGATGCCTGTACTCGCGTCAGTCCATTGGTGCTCCTAGTGGTCTCAGTTGCAATTGGAGTCGCACTCCCAGGTCTCGGCGGTGGTTAGGCCTCGCACGTCAGCTTTAGCCACGGCGGCTTCACAGAAGTCCTCGAGGCTACGGCTGCAGTCAAAATTCCTGAATTCCGCTCCATCTCACCTCCGAAGGTCCTTTCTCTCGGGTTTCACGGCGCCAAATGTTGAGAAAAGGACGAGCTGCCGTGCCCATGGCGAAGCCCACCCATCGACCTATTCTTTATTCCGAATGCGGGCTAATCCCAGATGATGATCGTGACTATCTTCGTCATTTACACAATATTTACCATACAGAGAACCAAGCTATAAATAACAAGATGAACGCTAATTCACACTATGCACACCCAGGTATAACTGTCTTAAGCCACAGCAAATTTTTCTAGCTGCTTGCCGTTCTTCCTGTGACATTTCAATTTCTGTATTTTGCATTCATTGCTTTGCTCTTCAGGTGAAACTGTGACATTTTGTGAAAGCCTTATGTGCCTCGTGAAATGTTAACTTTGACCGTCTGCGTCAACACGTGATGTAAGAAATTAACATCGCATGATGACGTCACATCATGACGTCACCGATAGGCAAAAGTTTGTGGCGTATGATGTTATGGTGATGTCATATGGCCTCTCACTTACTTAAGGCTGTGGGATCACGGAGGCAGTACAAAACCAGGCAGAGGGCTGAAAGCTTGCAGTTCCTTTAATTTTAGAAGCCGTGCAAAATCATGTTAGATGCAGAAAGCTTTCTGAGAGGAAAGTTAAACCGGTGAACAACAAGATCGAATAAGATAGCTTTCGCCAAGTACCTTCGAGTCGTCTAAAACGAAGGCATATGGGACCTCGTGAGGATTAGTTTTTACTAGCGAGGTGTCACGACTATGTCACACCTCGCTATGTCACGACGAGATGTCACGACGAGGTGAAAACGAAAGCGTCGTTAATCGTGTGCTGTTTTTGCGTACTCCTGCAGGCAATGCATTCCAGAAGATGTCGTCCTCCGTGGCCGACCAGCAGGCAGCCGTTGAGGGCCTGCTCCATCGCCTTGTCCCCCAGTGGGAGTCCCAAATCACGCTGCATGTCTTTCAGGGTGCCAAAGAACAGCGAGGCGACATGTTCGTGGTGCGTGTGCAAACCTGCTTCTCCCCGTTGCAGTACGCAGTGATTTGCATCCACATTTAAAAGGTTCTCTTACCGCCCACGCCCCCCGTTGTCGAAATCACTGGTAATGCACCAATACGTGTACTATACTGTTGACGAATAGCTTGACCGTAACTATTTTAGCAGTGGAGTTGTTTCAGCTTGGAGAAACGTGCGTTAGTCGCGCACAAAAACTATCATCGTGAACGCAATAACTCGGTCGGCCTGCACTTTTTTTGTCATTTTCTGCTTCATGCCAAGAATATGTATGTGAACCGATTTGTCCAGCATCGGATGCAATAACTTGGTTGGGAAAAAAAAGAGTACAGAGAGGGAAAGAAAAAAAAAGAAAACTTGAGAACTAGAAAGGGAGGAAATACACAAAAAATAGTTACAGACAGAGAGAGAAAAATATTTATAGAAATGAAACAGAGAGAGAGAGAAAGAAGTGGAAATAAAGGGGAAGGAAGAAATACAGAGAGATAGAGAGAGAATAATGAGAAAGATAGAAAGTGGGGGAAAAAGAAAAAAGAAATAAAAGATAAATAATTGGGGGCTTTCTGGCTGTCAAGCCTTCACCGTAATATTTGTGATGAAAGTTTTACAGCCATTCTCGTAATGCAACTGTTCTTGTAATGAAACAACAAGGGCCTTCGGCTGCTATATCTTCTCAAACTTGCGTGGCCATAACCCTTCTTTTTAAACAACTTTGGGACGAGTCCCACTCAGTGACTGCATAGAAGAACATTACGCCCTGCCTTCCGTATAAATGTATTAGAGGGGGAGAGTGGGGTTTGCCACCGTACTGCTATTTTCCTATTCACCCCACTGGTCCACTAAAACTTAACAAATGAACACATAGGTGGCAAACACCAGCTTCGGGTCTCACGTTCCGACTTCTCTAGTTCACCATCTGTACACACAATGCTTGGGCGGTGATTGAGTTCGTGCCGGTTAATGATAATATTAATTTTCCTTCTGTGACTCCCGGCAAGTATTGATCATGACAACTCTGCAGTAAAATAATTTCTTCACTAATTACGTTGTGCTGGAATAACACTTAACTTTTCTTTTCTGTGAATGTGCTGTCAACGGCAAAAAGAATGTGTATGTCAGCACTATAGCTTAGAATATGCAAGGTTTAGTTATCACCTACCAAAAAAAAAAAAAAACAGTCACATTACTTTCGGGGAATGAGTGATGCTTAAAATAGCATTCTCACTCGTCTGTTTCTCGCCCACTGCGCAGGTTGAGACTTTCAACAACAGCGTTTCCATAACGGGTTCAAGTGGTGTTGCGGTGGCCACGGGTCTTTACTACTACCTCAAGAAATTCTGCAACGTTCACGTGTCCTGGTCGGGCTCGCAGACAAAGACTGCCACGGGCAAGCCACCCCTGGTTCCCGAGCCAATTGTGATCAATCTCAACGGACGGTGAGTTTAACCAATCGGCATGGTTTGGCAGGATCAAGGTTGCCATTGAGTGAAGTTGAAGAAGCGCCAGAACTCAAGCCAAATGTAGCCAATGTAGCCACGTCATTTATTATTATCGCCAAACTTGTAGCCAAATAGAAGAAACCCAGGTGGTTGAAATTTCCGGAGCCCTCCACTACAGCGTCTCTCATAATCATATGGTGGTTTTGGGACGTGAAAGCCCACATTTTATTACCGTCCAGGTTTTAGTAATGCACAAGTCAATGACCACCCAGCTTTTGGGCCTTTGCACTTTCCTGTGTCTACGAAGGTGAAGAAAACGAAAGTGATAGAAGACAGACTATATGCATGAACGATAAAAAGCAATTGTGCCTTATTCCAGGAAGCTCTGTTGTTGTGCTGTTCTGCAAGTTTCTCTTGTGTGTTCTGTGATAAAGAAAATGAGCAAGGGGTCACATATGCTAGGGCAAGCTGGTGCTTTTGAGTAGCAGTAGAGGCAACAAAGCTGCTTTCCCTTGACCATTCATGCTCACGCAATTAGCAGGCTGACATCATTAGATGGATACACCATATATATAGGGTGTATTTCAATACTGATCATAGATGGCTAAATAGGCAGCCAAGTGGATTGCGGCCATCTTAAGTTTCATTCCAACTTTCACATAATCAGAAAAATAGACAGCTTCAAGAAGATGGTATCGTTGATGAAAACAATGCAGGGTACTTTGTTGTCCAAACAAGATGGCGGCTCAGTGAATTGCTCTGATAGCTCGAATTTTGCCGGAATGATTGTCTGCGCACAAGCAGATGCTTCTCCAGATGCTCAATATGAGTGACGTTCAATTTTTCTTGGATTTGAAATAAGATGAAAGAAATTCGCACCATCTTCACAAAGGGAACCCTGATGGGATGTGAAGCAGCTGTGTTGCGCACTGGTGGAGTCACGGGCTGAACGGCGCTGACATGGGTGCTGCAATGAATGCTGAAAGGCTTGTTTGAAGCGATCACCAAGTTAGGCCCAATCACTTCTGCGGATGTTTCAGCGATCGAAGAAGCGTCGCCTTTCGGCGTCCTCTCCATTGCAGATAAACCAACCTTAAGAGTGTTACTGCTCGATGTCCACTCGAGCATTGCGAGTGGAGAAAAGGGTGAAGCGAGAGAGAGGTGACACATACAGACATGTTTTAACATGTACGTTAGGCACACGTCGGGCTTATTGCACAAGAAGCGACGAGTCTGCTGTGTAGCGAGTGGTGGTAGCTGCAGGTGTTGTGGGTGAATGGACAAGGCAGCATCTGTGGGCACTGTGGGAGAGTTTATTTGCACCTCAACAGTTCGGGGTCACGTGATCCAAAGTAAACGTCACATATGACGTCATTGCTAAAGCAATCGGCTTCAAATGGCACTGAACTGATAGGTCTTGTCAATCGAGTTTGAGGTCATCTGACAGAAAAGGAAAAGATAGAAACCCGTTTTGTTTACATTATGGTTCACTTGCACTATTTCAAGTTATCTTACATTCTTGTGATAATCATCTACGCTGCGTAGTTTATTAACTTGGCGGCTTGATTTATAGTTTCTCCATTGCACTGCAGCACCCCGTTTTCTTACACGTTGCACCAATTCACTCCGTGTTGCAACTCGGCCGATTAGTAATAATATTTACCAAAGTTTAAAATTCCTAAAGGAGATTAGATTATTAGGGACGCCGTAGTGGAAGGCTGTGGTAATTTCGACCACTTGGGGTTCTTTACTGTGCACCTGAATCTGAGCACATGGGTCTCAAACATATTTGCCTCCATCGAAAATGCTACCGGCACGAATTCCGCCCCACAACTTTCAAACCGATCAGCTAGGCAACCAGAGCAAGCGCTCGTCTCACTGGCGAGTCGTCCTGTGCCTAAAATTGGTACAGTACACATCATTAGTTAGCCTGTTTGTCTAAAACATCGAAAAGGCACGCTCCGGACTGCACTATTTTAAAAGAGCCATAACTCTCGCACATTCAAAGCTGCCAAGGTTAAATGCTTAAGTGTGGGCTGTCAACTACTAGATATCGGAATACATGGCGCCAGAGGGCGCAATGTAATATGTGTATGTATGTAAAATTAAAAGCTGCGAGGCAACCGAAAAGCCATCGAGAAACTCCAGGCTGTACACCTGTAGACTTCAGTATATTCCTTTGATTTAAAGTGTATGACGCTAACAGTCATATGAGTAAATACAAACATGTTCCTTAATATGTTTGCCACCCGCGACACAACAGAGCGTCCACATGACCAGCTGTTCATGAAAGCTCCCCATACACAACACACTTGGCACTCCTCTCGACAAGACTCATTACTCTAATACTTACACAACGACACATGATATTTCTACGAGCACCACAGAGGCGTTATTTCGATTATGCGGGATTCCTTTACCGGGCTGTTTATACCGTCAGGGCACACAGCATGATTAGAAGCGAAAGAAAGCGCCTAATTTCTGCAGCCCTGTAGGGAGCACGGCGCAGTGCCTGAAGCATATTGATGGGGACAAAACGCGCCTTCCCCGCCTGCTTTTGCCTCTCCCATGAAAGAATCTTTTAACCCCGTTTTTTTTGTCACTTGACCTCAAAGTTGCTTTGAAAGGCATAGCCAGTTGAAACCGATCGTCTTTTCAATGACGTCACATGTGACGTTTAACCTTGGGTCACGTGACCCCGAGCTGTTGAAGTGCAAGTAGACTCTCCCGGGCACTGCGGGGAGAGCGTGATGCAGGCGGGGGAGAGGGTGACGTTAGTGCGCACTGCAAGAGGAGCTTGACGCCAAGGCGCAGCTGTGGTGTGACTTATACTTGGCACTGCTCCGACACATGCGGCGAGGGGAGCACGTTGCAATGCGTTCGTAGAGACGCATGGAGAGACATCGTTTCACAGGCTAGTCAGAGAGCTGCTTCAGATCTAAAATAACAGTCATGTTTGTTTACCTTAGCTTTATCTTCACGACGCAAGGTTGCATCTCGTCGCATAGACGCCATAGACGTGTTCCATTTCTCCGACAACAACGGCTTGACGCGGTCTTCTAAGTTGTCAGCATAGACTCTATGATACGGTCTAGTATTGAAACACAGTCATAATCCCGTTTAAAAAAAATTCAGCTATGTATTTCAACGGCCGTGGTTTCATCTGTTTTCAACTTAGCGATGAGTCGTCACTTGTTTTCTAAATTATTGCAGTTTCCGCTACTATCAGAATGTGTGCACGGCCAGTTACTCCACGGTCTGGTGGAACTGGACCCGCTGGGAGCAGGAAATCGACTGGATGGCGCTGAACGGCATCAACTTGCCGCTGGCCTTCACTGGGCAGGAAGAGATATGGAAGAGGGTGAGCATTACTTTTTAAGACTCTCTTTGCACTCTCCTCTGCCTCTTCGAATTTTTCCTTTCCCATTACTACGTGTAGGGTAGCAAACCTGTTTTTCTTAAGCCGATTAGACCTCCCTGCTTTTCCTTCTCTACCATTTCTTCTCTCTCTCTTTGAGACGTGGCATTCGCCCAGAGATAGGCCCAATGGCCAAGTCATCCCGAATGCAACAGAGTTCATTAGTAGGACAAATACTTTGTCTTTTGTTGCTTTCAGTGTCATTAGTAGCCAAAAAACCATAGCTTTGATGGCTGTTAGATTATATTGTCACGTTAAAGAGACAGGAGACGTTTTTAAGGCGTCCTCACAAAAGTCCGAAGAGCGGTCGGCTCAGCGCAGCCAAAAACAGAACAATGGCACGAGGGGAACTGCCACTTCGTCTGCCTCTTTTGCGCTGGCAGATCAAGCGCGCGGCACTGCCCCTCCTCCCTGAAGAGCATCGCCTCGATGCTAAACGAAGCGTGTATCGTAAAAAAAAAACATTGTCACAGTGTGTGGTACGGTTTTAACCGCACCACGTGCACAATCTCGGGTCGTAGCTGTCGGCGTCGGGGTGGTTGGCTTCCGTCCGGAAGGACTTCGTAATTGACGTCGCTCACTTGTCGTAGCACTTTGTACGGGCCAAAATACCGACTGAGAAGCTTCTCAGAGAGACCTTTGCAGCGCACAGGGGTCCAAACCAACACCTGGTCACCTGGTTTATAATCGACTTGTCTGTGGCAGCGGTTGTAGCGCTGTGCATCGACGCCTTGTTGTTTCTTGATGTTTACGCGGGCTAGTTGACGTGCTTCCTCGGCTCGTTGCACGAAACACTCAGCATCTTCGTCGAGATTCTCGATGTTGTCAATGTCGCATGGGAGCATTGCGTCCAACATCGTCTGAACGTCCCGACCGTATAGAAGACGAAACGGAGTGAATCGTGTGGTCTCTTGCGTAGCGGTATTATACGCGAATGTTACGTAAGGCAGTATTTCATCCCACGTCTTGTGCTGTACGTCTATGTACATAGACAGCATATCAGTCATCGTTTTGTTAAGCCGCTCGGTCAGTCCATTTGTCTGAGGGTGATACGCTGTTGTCTTGCGATGCGTGGAGTAACTTAACTGAAAAACTTGTTCAAGGAGCCTTGCTGTAAATGCTGTTCCTCGGTCTGTGATGACACAGGATGGAGCACCGTGGCGTAATACAATTCTCTCGATGAAAAACTGAGCAACTTCACAAGCCGTGCTTTTAGGAAGCGCCTTAGTTTCAGCATAGCGGGTTAGATAATCTGTAGCGACGATTATCCACTTGTTGCCGGAAGATGACAAGGGAAACGGACCCAGGAGGTCCATGCCGACTTGATCGAAGGGTGTTCTGGGTGGCTCGATAGGGTGAAGTAATCCCGCAGGCTTAACAGATGGGGATTTTCGGCGCTGGCATTCGCGGCAGGCTTGAACGTACTGTTTAACGCAAGCGGCAAGTTTCGGCCAGTAGTAAGACTTTCGTACCCTAGCGATGGTTCGGGTGATGCCCAGATGGCCCGATGGAGGCTCGTTGTGGCAGGCAAATAGAATTTCCTCACGCAGCTCTGCGGGGACGACCAACAGGTAAGTTTTGTTGCTGGCGGCTGCGTTCTTCTTGTACAACACGCCCTGTCGTAAGCAGAAGGATGACAATCCGCGAGTTATATGCTGGGGCAGTGATACGTTGCGGCCCTCTAGATGTTCAATGATAGGTCGCAATTGAGCATCTGCTCGCTGCCGTAAAGCCAAGTCTGTTACGCTTACGGAGCCAAGGAAAGGGCAGTCCTCTTCGAAGCTCTGAGCGGCAGGCTCAACTGGCGCGCGTGACAACGTGTCCGCATCTTCGTGTGCACGACCGGACTTGTACACGATAGTGACGTCGTACTCCTGCAGACGTAGGCTCCACCTTGCCAGTCGTCCGGAGGGGTCTCTGAGGTTCGCAAGCCAGCACAGCGAGTGATGATCCGTCACTACTCTGAATGGACGGCCGTAAAGGTAAGGTCGAAACTTAGCAATTGCCCACACGACAGCAAGGCACTCCTTCTCCGTGGTACTGTAGTTTGACTCCGGGCGTGTTAGGGTTCGGCTTGCGTAGGCGATAACCTTTTCAATTCCCTCCTGCCGTTGGACGAGTACCGCGCCCAGACCGACGTTACTGGCGTCGGTATGAATTTCTGTTTCGGCTTCCTCGTCGAAATGTCCAAGAACAGGTGGTGATGCCAGGCGAAGCCGAAGCTCTGTGAATGCTGATTCTTGTTCAGCACTCCAAACGAACGGCGTATCGTCTCTAGTGAGTCTAGTTAATGGTTCGGCAATTTTCGAAAAATTGCCTATAAAGCGCCGGTAGTACGCGCATAGACCAAGAAACCGCCGCACACTTTTCTTATCGGCAGGAGTCGGGAAGGCTGCGACAGCGGCGGTTTTCTCAGGGTCAGGACGGACGCCTTCTGCGCTTACGACATGTCCAAGGAACTTTAGTTCTTCGTAACCGAAATGGCATTTTTGCGGCTTTAACGTAAGGTTAGCCGTCCGAATCGCCTCAAGTACTTGTCGTAGTCGCTTCAGATGTTCGGAGAAGCTGGTTGAAAACACGACCACATCATCCAAGTACACAAGGCAGCTTTGCCATTTTAAGTCAGTCAACACAGTGTCCATCATGCGTTGGAAGGTAGCTGGCGCAGAGCAGAGTCCGAACGGTAGCACCCGAAATTCGTAGAGGCCATCCGGCGTGACAAAGGCGGTTTTTTCGCGGTCGCGCTCATCAACCTCAATTTGCCAGTAGCCACTCTTTAAATCCAGGGAAGAAAAAATACTTCGCTCGTCGTAGTCGGTCAAGCGAGTCATCAATACGCGGCAGCGGATAAACATCTTTTTTGTGACGTTGTTGAGCTTTCTGTAATCTACACAGAAGCGAAGCGTACCGTCCTTCTTCTTAACCAGAACGACCGGTGAGGACCAGGGACTGTTCGAAGGCTGGATAACGCCGTCGTCGATCATTTCTTTCACTTGCTGCTTGATAGCTGCGCGTTCTGTCGGCGAGACGCGGTATGGCTGTTGGTGAATAGGTCTTGCGTCGTCGTAAGTGATTATCCTGTGCTGTGTAATTGGCGTCTGACTCACTTTAGACGACTGAGCAAAGCACGCCCTGAATTCAAACAATAGCTCTCGCAAGGCCCTCTGGTTCTCTTCTGGCAGTGCACTGTTCATGTCAACATCTATTACGGTTTGTCCATTGCGGCTACTGTCTTCACAGGCAAAACACTCAATGACGTCCTCCAAGGCTTCAGCGTAGGCGACCGCAGTGCCCCGGAAAAGGTGACGATGCTCATTGGTGAAATTTGTAATCATGACCTCGGCTGTACCGTTCCGAATGTCAATGATGCCTCGTGCCACAGAAATTCCAAGCGCCAGCATCAGGGAGACGTTGCACTCTGCCACTGTTTCACCGTCACTGGTTCCTTCGGAAGTCACCTGAATTAGGATACTTGCACGAGGTGGTATTGTGACACTGTCGTCGGAAACACGGAGGGCGGTTGTACGGCGGTTGGAGTCCCTTGACGTAGCGTTGACTGTCGAAAAGGAAATGCAGCGTCGCCGTAGGTCGATTACGGCGCCATATTCCCGAAGAAAATCGAGGCCGAGAATTAATTCGCGGGAGCAGTCACGTAGCACGATGGAGCTGACCAAAAACGTGCAGCCTCGTATTTGTAGCCTGGACGTGCACAAACCAACCGGCGTTACAACATGTCCGCCAGCTGTACGTACATGCGATCCTGTCCAAGGCATTATCACTTTCTTCAAGGTACGTGCCAATTGTCCGCTAATAATCGAGTAGTCAGCACCAGTGTCTATTAAGGCAGTTAAATTGCGACCGTCGAGCAGCACAGGTATGTCCATTGAAAAGTCGCTCAGCTGGGATACAGGCGCCGGCGTAGTCGAATTTCCGTTGGTCCGATGTCGCGTCGATTGGAGGGCGAGGTCTTCATCACGTCGAGAATCAGCGGCCTCGCCTCGAAAGGTCGCTGGCGTTAGTTTTCCAGGCGAGGGCTCGGAGACCGTCCTTGCGGCCTTCGATTTCCGTTGCCTGAATAAGATGACGACCGCGGTGACGGTGAGCGCGACTGACGCCTGAGTGGGACGTTCTGCCGAGCGATAAAATCTTCAATTTCTGGTGGTCTCTGTCCAAACCGGGGGCGGGGTGAATTGGCAGGAAAACCCTGCAGCCCAAGTCGGCGGTACTGGCAGTCTCGGTAGAGGTGACCCGCTTCACCGCAGTGGTAGCAAAGCGGTCGTCGGTCGGGCATGCGCCATATGTCGGATTTACGCATGACGGGTCGAGTGTCTGCAAAATAAGGGACCACCTGTGCGGACTGCAGTGTGGCGTACGGGGTTGCGGCTGGTAGTGGGACTGGTGCAGGTGCGTTGTGTTCGAACGTGTCGGTATAAGTGGTGCGCTGGAAACCACTCACTGGGGATGGTGTCGTGGACGACGGAACGGTGCGTCTCAATACGTCTGCGTAGGTCACCCCTAGAGGTTCACTTGAAGTTGCGAACGCCTGAAGTGGTGCAGCAACCTGCGTTGGTGTCTCGCGGTGAGGTGTGCCGAGCGCATGCTGAACTTCGTCACGTATGATGGTGGCGATGCAATTCGTGGAAGGCTGCTGCTGCGCCTGGTTCAGCTGTTGCAGCTGTTGTAGCTCGTCGCGAACAACCGAACGTATCAGCTCGCGAAGCGCTCCCACGTCGGTCGGGAACGAGCCTAGCCCGGTGGTATAGGTAGCATTCACTTGCCGATCGTACTGGTTCCGCTGCTGCAGCGCCTTTTCCATGGCGACGGCTTCAGTGAGGAACTCCGCGACCGTTCTAGGCGGACTACGAATGAGTCCAGCGAAGAGCTGCTCTTTCACACCTCGCATCAAATGTCGCAGCTTCTTGTCTTCCGGCATGGTTGGATCGGCGCGAGTGAACAGATGAACCATATCCTCCACGTATGTAGCCACACCTTCATTAGGCATCTGCATGCGGGACTGGAGGGCCCTTTCAGCGCGCTCTCGACGATCGAGACTCGAGTACGTTTCGCGGAGCCTGTGACAGAACTCATGCCACGACGTTAGGAGGCCCTTGCGGTTCTGGAACCATGTGCGAGCACCATCCAGAAGACTAAAGTACACATTCTTGAGCTTCGCTACTTCGTCCCACCCGTTGAAATCCGCTACGTACTCGTACTCAGCCAGCCAATCTTCCACATCTTCATAGAGGCCACCACGAAAGGGACTCGGAACACGTGGTTTTTGTAGCGTGTAATGAGTGGGTGCAGCTGCGGGTGCAGCGGTTGGAGCAGCGGCGGCTCCAGCGGTAGGGGAAGCGGTGACAGCAACAGTATTCTCCATACCAGTCGACGTACTTGTACTGTGAGGCACAAACTCGGGGGACAGTCCTCGAATCCTCCGACTGAAACGGTGTACCGGCGTAAGCTCTGGGTTTTGGGTCACGTTCCGGCTGCTAGAAGGAGTCTGTTGCATAGGTGAGGTTACCCCGCACCTCCACCATTAAAATGTCACGTTAAAGAGACAGGAGACGTTTTTAAGGCGTCCTCACAAAAGTCCGAAGAGCGGTCGGCTCAGCGCAGCCAAAAACAGAACAATGGCACGAGGGGAACTGCCACTTCGTCTGCCTCTTTTGCGCTGGCAGATCAAGCGCGCGGCAATATTAGGTTTTATAACTAGTTCAACTTGCATAAACATATTGCATCAAGATGTATTCTTGTGTTGGTTGGTTTATACCTGCAGTAAAACTTTGCTGTTGCGGTTGTAGATGTGGTCAAATTGAGGTGATTGGGTCACAGTGTAGTCAAGTTGATGCGGTTGCAATTGCCATCACCGTCTTGTTTTGCACGTATAGACGCCCAGTAATAGCTCTACATCTTTTTTTGCTTGCTCAAGCCGTACAATTTACACACTGATTGGATGGTTGAAGATTTCTTTTTTTTGTGTATATTGTGGAGGTTGCTTGAGGAGCTTTTTTTTCTGTTTTATGTGTGTTTTTTTTTAAAAAAAAGAGACAGACATAAAGATAAGCAATAAAGTGCGATTCGCAACTCAGAAGCAAAGTGGCCACACAGTATTCGCAGGAATTAGCTTAGTATAACTTAACTCAAAGCACACATAAAACTCTATTTACGTTTTCAGTTGCAATTACGTGAACAACATCTTACTACAACAAAGTCGCAGCGGTCTACACTTCACCGCAGTGAAGTTAGCCACCATTTTATTCACCCAACTGCTGTGGTCGAGCGTTCTAAACATCTATCCTTGCAGACATTCCTGAAACTTGGTGTGAAGCAGGCAGAGATCGATGAATTTTTCTCTGGACCTACATTTTGGCATGGTAAGTCACGCGGGCAACTTGTAAGCCTTATATTTAACACTAGACACAGGTTTAATGTCTGTGGTATTTAGGTTTTTGTTGAAGTTGTCGCAGACATAAGTTTTGCTATTGATTTATTTTACTTTGAACATTTTTACTTGGAAAAAACTTTACTGTTACGCGCTCGTTAGGTTGAAAGGCCTCCCACCACAAGGCGTTCAAAGACGAGGGAGTGGTTTACACTTCTCTTTCTTTATCCTTTCTATAGGTCAACTGACCTCCTCGAAATTTATTTTTTAAAAGCACGTGTGAAATGTCAGCTATAAGCACTGAGCCTATCAACACTGCGCGCTTGTCGGCTATATGCTGTTATCTCCTCTTGCGCAGTCGGAAGCACACAAAATGAAGCCAAATTATCAGTTGATTGCGTGGTATACACAGTCATGCGAGACAAGAAAAATGGATGGGCGGCTGCATGGCAGAGAAGTTCAGTAGACAATTCACAAGCGATATTCTTTGTATGTGGACCAATTGAAAATACGCACTATATAGGCGTCACAGAAATCGCTTGTCTTGTGTCACGAAGTGCACCAGAAAGGCGAGAAACACCAGGAGAAAATAATGCGCTCGTTTTTTTTTTGTATCTCCATAGGCTGTTGAGGGGCCCTCTAAAAGGACACTAAAGGAAAAAAAAATTTTTTCTGCTTATCACTAAAGCACAATTCCACAATACCGAAAGCGCCACTGTGCTTCATGAGACGATGCTTCATGAGACGAGCAAACGCGCGAAAATAAATGCAGATAGAGATGCCATCGTGAGATTCCCACACCGAAGAACGTGAAGTCTTGGATTTTGACGGCGTCTACTAGGTCCTACGTGGTCACAGAAATATGAAAAGTACATCTTGAGATCAGTGATTTCACGTGCGGAGACTTCGGCACGAGATTTAGAAAAGCAGCTTCGACCTTGATTTTTTTCCTTTAATAATAAACTCATAATAGCGAAACATACAGCATTAACATTCTCAAAGTACAATTTATCAATCTGAGCCAGGTCATCGATTCACTTTTGTGTACCTTTAAGGTAAAGAAGTGGAGGGACATTGTAGATGATATGCTGAGTATGCGCTCCTCCTCCAACTTGCTTGTTTTCTTTTCAGGCAAAGGATGGGAAACTTCCGGGGCTTCGGTGGTCCACTTCCTGAATCGTGGCACGTTCAGCAGGTGCAGCTGCAGCACCGAATACTGAAGCGAATGCGGGAGTTCGGCATGATGCCCGTGTTGCCAGCATTCGCCGGACATGTTCCACGAGCCGTAGAAAAGTACGCACTATAGAGCACGCAATTTGGAAAGGAATTGTGTATAGTTGCATTTGTGCCGGTAGGTCGATACACGTAGTTGTAATTGGAATCGTAGAGTTCAACACTAGTTCCACGATTAGCATTCGGTGAATTGACGTTTCGCAGGTTCATTTCTGGCAGCGGTCACATTTGTATACGGAAGCGGAGTGATTGAATGCACTCATGCGCTTTATGTTAATCTCGAGACCCCGCTACGGCATAATTTCATAAACATGTCATGTTTCGGCAATTAAAGCTTGACTGTTAATGTATTTGCATACGCTTAATAATTATGCAAGATGAAAGTTAGTTGAGTGTGTTTATACATGTATGTTAGTGTGTTTTTTACGCATACTACATGCTATTTGTAATGTTAAGTTTCTTTACCTTTGTTTATAAATAATTTCTTTACAGAAAATGCTAGTCGTAAGATACACACCGGAGGCGATAGAATGGGTCAGACAGCGAGCAGGTGTAGCGGATTTTCTAATTGATACCCAGTCGAAAGAAGTTGATGTGGCATAGCTGGTAGAGGCAGAACAGCACAAAAGAACAAGACTAAGACAAAGTAGAATAAACAAGAGTCCCTGTTCTTTTGCGCTGTTTTGCCGCTACCAGCTATGAATTGTTACAACTTGCCCAGTTTTCAGTTCTACTAAGTGGACTTGAGCCGGCCACTTAAGACGTCGGGTTGACCACCTGGTCAGATCAAACCATGAAACAGAGGGTACCAGTGTACAACTGAGTATCAAGGGAAAGAAAAAGAAGCCGATGACGGCAGCAAGTTAGGCGGAGCTATGGGATGGTAGCGTCTTCAAGGAGGAAATCAAATTAGCTCGCATAATAAATAAGATCAATGGGAGAGGCATACGTGCTGTTGTGTACATAAGCATAGGCTGAGAATGATGAATGATGATTGTATGCTAAACTTTTTTTACTGACTGTGAATATCAGCAAAGTATCATTTCTTTGTTCTTTTTGTGTGGACCAGAAGCAGAAAGAAAGAGCAATTTTCTTGCTCCTAAGTGCTTCTATGAATACACCACATCAAACGAATGTGTATGTCTGAATAAGAGGCTCGAATTTCCTGTGGGTTTTAAAATTATTTCTTGAATAGTCAGGCACTCATACACCCTCTCTTTTGAGAACTTCTAAATTTAATAAAACATTATGTGCTCATCTTCCTTCGCAAACAAAACAAAAAAATGCTGCTGTGACTTGGTTACTTTCATACTCGTTTGAATAATGTTTTTTGAAGCCTTTGCTCAATGGCAGCTGCTTTTTATTCTTCATATGGGGTCGTCAACACTCATGACATGTGGCTGCTATTTCAAATACAACGCTCGACATAACCAAGGGTAAGTTAACGAAATGATTTCACTGATGGCACTACTGATGGTACATCAGATGATTCGACAAAATAGTACAACTCAACCTTCATTAGTTTAAATTTTGCACGAAGTGTTCATATAGTACCGCTGACTGCAATCTAGCTCACATCACGATGTCGGCAAGGTTTGCACAAGCAACCAGCAAAAGCTAAGACAGCTCACTAAAGTATTTTCGCAGGTTGTTTCCGAACACATCTATGTCAAGAACATGTTGGCAGGCCTTTGAGGAGCGATATGCTTGGTAAGTTAGGTTTTATTTTGCTGCATGTTTTTTTTTTGTTGCACAAGTTCTGCCAAGCTTGAGTGCATGCACTTGTAACAAAAGCCAGCCTTTTTTAACAAAGCAGTTATTTAGCAAGGAAGGCCAGTTTTTTTTCTGAAGTTGGTTCAAGCTTCAATCATTCATTTTTATTCATTCATTTCATCCGCTTCAACCATTTTACCACTATGTCCTTTTCCTACTCATTGCGTGTATTTTAACCTTGTTGTGATTTTCCTTATTTCACGATGAGCATTCACTATCTAGCGCAACACGCTATTCTGCTTCATCCAAGCTTGTTTAAGATTCTCGATCATTATCTGTTCATCCACGTGCTGACTTTTTTGCCATAAAGTTATTGGAAATTGAAAATACAGTATGCAATTGTGTTAAACAAATGAATTCAGTGTTGATGTTGTTTTTAATTATTAGAAATCATCAGTTAAATAACTACACATGCACATTTCCCAGAAGATTGGTTTATGTTAAGGTGTTCCGATATCCCCGTTTTGCAAGGTTGATCTCAAATGATTTAAATTAAGTAAATTAGGTTCCACTTCACACAATGACTCTTTAGTCCAAATAATGCTTTGCTCGTGCTTTGTAATGCCATCTCTTTTTTTTTTTTGCCAGGGTAATGACAATCTGTGCACAAACTTGGACGTAAACTAATAGCTCTGAATCAATTCTCATGATACGCAACCTGTTTTTAGCTTAGGTGGTCTTTACTGCCAACGTGCTTCTCTTCCTTTAATTCTCAGCCCGACGTTCGTTTTTCCGAACGAGACCCTCTTTGTCACCATTGGAAAGCTGTTCCTGCAACAGGTGAGCTGAGCAACGACCTTATATTGTACCTAGCATTAAGGCAGATACGATGCTTATCTTTATAAGCTATTTATACTATACATTATACTATACCTAGCATTAAGGCAAATACAATACCTATCTTTATAAGCTATCTGTACTATACCTTATACAGTACCTAGCGTTTAGGCAAATACGATGCTTATCTTTATAAGCTATCTATACTATACATTATACAACACCTAGAGTTAAGGTAAAGACTGATGCTTATCTTTATAAGCCATCTGGTTTCCTAGAATAGTTGAGTTTCTTGGTATTTGAATAGCTGAGAATGTTCAGCTTTGTAGCATTTTGCACAGAAAATGCATGTTTGTAATGTTCATTTACCAAGGCAGAGAACTTTGCGTATTAACTTTTATTCTGTCTAGTGCTTTTCTCGAATCAGTCACTTTAGTGGCAGTAATGTTTCTTTGCACCAAAGAGTTTTTTTAGATTAAGCTAGAGGGAACTCTGGCACTGCGATCATACAGCCACCATGGGAATGTCGGGCAGCGCACACATTTGCCTAGTCTTAGTGCTTGCGGGCTTTCAATGCACTTGTGGCTTTGCATTTTCGTGTGTTTAGGTTTCGTTTCGAATAAAAGAAATGACCATTGTGAACTTCGTGTTGAAATGCAACTGCTGAACATTTGCCAATTGTCATCTCGTGACAAATTGGCTCTGAGCCACGCGAAGGAAAATGGAGCCGAAAAAACCAAGACTAGGCAAATTTGTAAACTGCCCATAATTCCCATGCTGGCTGAAGCGCCGTGTGTTGCAGCTCTCAGAGACACCAGTGCCCGAGTTCCCTCTAGTGTATTTATAGGAAACTCTATGCATTGCACTTAATGCATGTAAATTTATGTATTCATTGGCTATCAGTAGAGTGAATTTGTTCATGACTTGGTAGAAAAAGGCATCGATAACGTTGCAGCTCATGACCCGCAATGTAATTTTCATTGTGTAAGCTATTTGTGCATGGCAGCTTTATGTTCTCTTTTGAAGTAAGCGATTTGGTTTACTATGTGCCATCTAACTTTCAAACCTACACGATTCTGCATTTCTCAGGGGATGCTTTCCTGGCAATCGTTTTGACATAATGCACAGAGCATGAAAGAGTGCAATAAAGTTTTATTTGTAAGCTCTTTCCCAGTCAAAAAGGAAGGACCGTACAGTCAATATCTTCAGCGCTGAAGCTAGTGCACAAGCGCTGGTTTAAGGTGATCATACCGGACGGCTCATTAGTTAATACAGAAGCATCAGACGTTAGTGCTTCAGTGTGGTCTCATGAACGTCTTCATAATCTGGCAATTTTTTTTTTCTTCCAGTACATAGCAGAGTTTGGCACAGACCACTACTACAACACTGACCTCTTCAATGAGATAAACCCTCCTTCTGGGTGAGAATTGAGTCATCCTTTCTGCTGGCATCACGATTAACGAATGTTGTCTTCTAGGGTTCCTATGATTCAGCATATCAGTTGCAGTCAAGCCACTCAGTGACTACAGAGATGGTGTAGCTATTTGAAGTGAACAATATTATAGTGATAGGTTCACGGTTCAGCGGACGGACCTTATCACTTGCTGCTCGAAAATGGCTTAATAGCCTGATAGAAGAATACGTTTTTTGGTAGCAGCGCTTTAAACATTTTGTGGACACGTAATGCATGCACCAGGGCCGGTAAACAGAGAGGAATGTGATTGATTTGATTTGATTGATGATTTGATTTGTGGGGTTTAACGTCCCAAAACCACCATATGATTATGAGAGACGCCGTAGTGGAGGGCTCCGGAAATTTCGACCACCTGGGGTTCTTTAACGTGCACCCAAATCTTAGCACACGGGCCTACAACATTTCCGCCTCCATCGGAAATGCAGCCGCCGCAGCCGGGATTCGAACCCGCGACCTGCGGGTCAGCAGCCGAGTACCTTAGCCACTAGACCACCGCGGCGGGACAGAGAGGAATGTGACAATCCAATCCTGTGTGTATTAGTTTTTTTATATTGATATGTTATTGGGATCTGACACAGATATAAGGCATTTGCTATCTCCTTCCCGACTCTTGAAGTTACCAGACATACCGTTTACAACTTCTGCACAGAAACACAAGGGGTAAAACAATGATAAAGAAAGAGCTGTCAAATGACGTTCTCATGGTAATACCAGGACAAGAAAATGTCCAACATGAGTCAACAAGAAAATGTCAAGAAAAAGAATATCGAACTGTAACATGATAACACAAGTGATGCGTTGCTCATATGGTTGAGAATTTAGGTACCCCCATGATAACTTTAGCTTAGATTGCGTTATTACTTCACATGTTTCGTTAGAACTCGCGTAAAATCTAATCGGAAGGTTTCTTGGGAACATGTGATCTCAAAGATAGATGATTAATTTCTATTTTTTAATGTCTAATTGCTTCTGCTGTTGTTTGCCCTCTGTTTATACAATGGGCTGGCATACATGCAGCTCACATCGTAAGCTTGTTTTCTATAACAAAGTCAGTTTATTGCCAGCAATAATTATTTTCTTTTACCTCCAGGAACATATCCTTCGTTCAAGACTCTGGCAAGGCTGTCTTCACAGCACTCACGGAGGTGGACCCTGAAGCTGTTTGGTGAGTTTTTTCGCACTGTGAATATAAGGCTGCCATCAATGTCATCACGCACAGCATTGATGGATGTGGCAGCAAACATGCGACGGGTGCAAGCATTGTGCGGCTTGCCCGCACGTAATAGGCCCTAGCAGTACAACGATAACCTGTTGCTCTTTACTGGGTGAGCAAAATTCACTATCGATTGAACTCCTGACTCATTCTATTGTTGGGCTAGCTGCCATTGGCTACTTTGCTTATGAATGATGATGATGAGGAGGGGGAGGTGGATACATTTTCACAGCACAAAGGCTGGTTCTAGCTAAAGAGTGTCAACTGATCAGAATGCTTCACTTTGAAAAATGAGCGTAGGATTTCGCGTGGTGACTTTCACCTGGCTGGAGCCTCATGTACTTATCTCCAGATTTATGTGCACTTTAAAAAATTCAAGGTGGTCTAGGGCTTTTGGAGTCTTCCACTGTGGCATACTTCGCAATCGCATCGTGGTTTTGGCACGTAAAACTTCAGCAATTATGTTGCATTGCATTTTTATCTCATGTTTTGTTGTATGCATTTATTACTCTGAAATATTTTGTGCAATGAGCAGCTGGTGTCAATCGTAGGAGCCTACAACTCCGAAACTTAGTAGCGTTCAAGATTGGGCTAGTTAGTTTACCATGATTAAGGCTACAGTACAAGTACTGCAAGCACAAAAACGAGTATGGAGGATTTAATGCATTGTAACAAAATTTCATTTGGAATTAAATGCTGTGTACGCTCGCACCTTTCATTGCACTTGTTTTATTTGGGCAGCAGTTTTAATCACCTACTGCTGAAAATTTCATAATATTGAAAAAAATATAGGCTTCACTCAACGTTTCACTTTCATTGTGAAATGGCACAAATAAGACACAGGAACCCAGGTGAGTGAGACGACACATGCGCTAACTTACAACTGAAAAAAAAAAGGTCAATTGAAAGTTAACGTTTGTATATATTCTCACTCGCCTGTGTCCCAGTGTCTTTGCGCTATTTTAGCTCGGCTTTCCTTACTGCTGCAGTTAAACTTTTCTCCCTCTGGCTTCCATAGGGTCATGCAAGGATGGTTGTTCATCAACGACCCATTCTATTGGACGCCACAGCGGGCGAAGGCTCTGCTGAGGAGTGTTCCTCAGGTAATTCACTGGTTATCTTACTATTCGGCAATGTTTGCTTCTCAGCCTTATGAGCAGAAATTACTTGCTGATGAATAAATTCAGTCCGAGTACATGCTGCTCATCATAAGGTCACTTCTGAGAGGCAAAAACCTCCACCTATATTGTGGTGCTTGGTTTATAAACGTTTACTTATTTGAATGTCATGCATAGATTTGAGCAAGAATACTGTGTATTGCTTGGATCGACTGCGTATCGATCGCCTCATGAAATGATCGTGACCCGGGCTGGATAGTAGAAAAGAAGTATTTATAGTATCGTGACACGAAAATTATTGGTAATATATGTGTTTTCTAATCCACAGTGCATCCGGTGGCGACATTGAGCATGTTTTATTGTTTGATTGCTTATACTTGATGAAGCTTATCCGCTCGTGTTTGTTCCCTATAAATATTTCTGACCATCTCTTTTTTACTCAAGCACTAAATCACGTCACGATACTTGTTTTGTCAACTTCTTCGATATGATTACTTCCATATTTACATGGCAACTTGATAATACTGCATGCCTGCAAGCTTTCTAATATGATAACACCACCTAGTTAGTCATCCGGTGATAGCATTAAGGAACCCGTGTCACAGAGAATTGAGTGTCGTCAGCGTTGGCGGCATTGTCTTTGAGTGAAAAATTCCTAATAATGAAAACTGTTACATGTCAGAGAATACTCAGATTGACAGCAAATCTTAACGATTCAACTTTTGGGGTACTGCATTGCAAGTATTCCTTTTTTTATTTTGTTCCCAATACTGATCATTGTTATCGGTGCTACAGAAAAGGCATGAAGGTAAGACAGGGAATAGGCAAAGACAGCTTGACAGAGTCCATGCACGTTCGCAGGGAAGGCTGTTAATACTCGACCTGAGTTCTGAGCGACAACCCGTGTACGAAAAGTTGTCCATGTTCTACGGCCAGCCTTTCATCTGGAACATGCTACTCAACTACGGAGGCGTTCTGGGAATGTATGGGTCGCTGAATTCCGTGAACGAGGTAAGTTTTACATTATGCCTTCGTAGAAAAGACGGTGCAACACAACATCAGAATATTTCATTAAAAAACAGCAAAAACACATCGTATGGTTATTTCATAATTGACACATGCTAACACACTAAACGCAGGTTTTCTTTTTTTCTTCTTCCCGATTCTTTTGCACTCTTTCCTCTCAGGTGGAAGGAAGCCAGCCAGGCTCGGTCTTGGTGTTTCATTTATGCTTTGTCACCCGTCTCCATCCCATTTCTCGTTCTGTACTGTACACAATGCCTCACCACTTAAATTGTGTTAAAAGGTCGTCCCAACGATTCTTTGACTTTGGAATCTGCAATGTTGCAATGAAAACACTTACTACTCATGATGAGCCGAACGAAGCCTTAGAACATGGGGCATCGTCAGAGCTGACGTTTCGGCAAGTAGACTTGTCTTTATCAAGCTTGCAGCCTTGAAGAATAAGAGTCCGTTTGTCAAAATGTTGGCGAAATACCCCATTTCTCAAGGTTTTTTTAATCTCTTCAAAAATGCATCTTCCCCTGAACTTCTACCTTACTTAATCATTATCTCGAGAATATGAAAGAAAAAAAATTGGCTGTGCATCTGCGTGCTTTGCTGCAAATGTTGAAAGACGATAGTTTTCACCTGGCCTTCGTTCGTGCAGCCTAAAAAACACTAGGGTCTTTAGAATTATGTATCTATGTATTATTTTCTACTAAAGGAACACGCCACCTAATACTTAGGTATTTATGTTTTGCCTCAGATGTGCGTAATATTTGCTTTTTGATCGACAGTGTTCACAAGTATGAAGGCTGCCACCAGTTCAAGATGGCTGGGCATTCAGCAAGTGCTTAAACTTTGGCCTAGTGGCTGAATCCTGTGAGTGACAGACAGACCAAAATTTATGCGTTAAAGTATCCCAAGAAAGACCATCGTGACAAACGGACGGCCGTCCTGTCTTCATATTGTCATGTATACATTAGCAGGCTATGGTTTCTGAAATATGTGACGAGACTGTCGTTAAAGTGCACCCTGCATAAAGTTGTACTGAACTTGCGCTGTATGATGTTTACAAAGCTAATGTTCGTTTCAGGGACCGTTTAATGCCAGCAAAGCAAATGACTCCACTATGGTCGGGACTGGCTTGACGCCTGAAGGCATAAATCAGAACGATGTGATGTTCGAGTTCATGAGCGAAAACGCCTGGAGATCGTCGCCAGTCAACATTAGCGAATGGTGAGATCTGTGTATTCTCTAGTATTATGCCAAGAAGCATGCTTCTAGTTTTAAATTTAGCGACGTGTACATGTGTGTGTCGTCTTTTGTCTAGTCATGCTGTTGTTGAAAATTCCAACCAGCCAGTTCGTCAACATGCTTCAACGAATTTCTTACTTAGGAACATAAAATGAATTCAAGGTGCAATGTGGACATGAAATTTCTTGCTTTTGGTATTAAGAAACCTCTGTAAGCCATTTTAGTACTAAAATTATGTTTAGGAATATTTGTCTGAGCATCAAGGTCATGTCGCATGCTTTTATCTTTCACCAGACCTATGCCGTTTCGGAAATGTTTTGGTGGCTTTTAGGGCACTTCATGTAAGAAAAAAGTTTTGCTGTGTTGAGAAGTACACTATCAATTCAGGTGTGAATGCAAGGTTTGACAAAACAGCGTCACTTTCTTCGTTTTTCACAGGATAGATAACTATGCATTGAGAAGATACGGCAAGGAGAATGTCAACGCTACTTCTGCATGGAGGCATCTTGCAGTGAGACACTGTGGCTATGGCTAGGCATAGTATATTGTTTTCTTGTGCGTTTGTCGGTCATTTATGTACAAGTGAATATTTTGTATTATGTGCAAAATATGCATGCATGCATGCATGCATGTATGTATGTATGTATGTATGTATGTATGTATGTATGTATGTATGTATGTATGTATGTATGTATGTATGTATGTATGTATGTATGTATGTATGTATGTATGTATGTATGTATGTATGTATGTATGTATGTATGTATGTATGTATGTATGTATGTATGTATGTATGTATGTATGTATGTATGTATGTATGTATGTATGTATGTATGTATGTATGTATGTATGTATGTATGTATGTATGTATGTATGTATGTATGTATGTATGTATGTATGTATGTATGTATGTATGTATGTATGTATGTATGTATGCACAATAAATTGCTCGAGAAGCACGTAGCACGCTCACTGAGGATATAATTTTATAAGATATTGCAATAGGTGAAGATGTTAACTACAAAGCCATAGGTGGGTTGGGTAGCCGTATGGTATCCAGTAATCTGGGTGGATGATAGGTTAAATCGTAGTTCTATAGTGCACTGTAGACGTAGGATAAGTAAACTTACCCGAGGTAGTTAATCAGTCATTATATCTGTACAACTGCCGTGTGGTCTAATTTCAGGAGAGCGTCTACGACTTGGATCCTTCTACTCTTGTAAAAGACCACGGACAGTACGCGCTTGTGGTGCGACCTTCGCTCCACCTCAAGAATAAGGTGAGATTGCCGTTACACTTGACTTTAGATTTTGGAAAGGAAGGTAACACACACTTGGATTTGCATTACGTTATAGCGCTGCTGTTCTTTCCTGAGAGAGCACTGTCTGTACTCAGTTACACATTTCATCATATATCGCAGACATGGTATGACCCTGACCACGTGTACACGGCCTGGTGGGATCTCGTGAATGCGGCCAAAGATCCCGAACTTGCTGAACAAGGAACCTTTAGGTGAGAGCAATGCTTGCCTGCAAAATAACTATAATAATAATAATAATAATAATAATAATAATAATAATAATAATAATAATAATAATAATAATAATAATAATAATAATAATAATAATAATAAACTTGCATTTGCCCACGCCCAGCTAGCTGTCTCATCGAAGCGGCAGTCTTTATCGGCTCATGCTAGGTCACCTGGCTAAGGCTAGGTTTCAAACTTGCTTTAAGCAAGGCTATTTTGCAGCTTTTATTCCTCTCGAATTGACCGGCTTCTTCTCTTTGTATCAGCCGCTTTTTTGTTCTAGTAAGCTAAGTGGGATCACCGCCGCTGATCTCCTTCTCGCTCGGCAACACGTCGAGCCTCGCAATAGGCACCATCATCTTCAAGCGTATGGTTCTTCCTCGGATGAACCACGGTTACAAACTGCCTCTGCACGACCAAGCTTCACTTTTCTGTAACCATTCCGAGAATATGCATATGTGCAGTAGGTCTATTTTCGACTTACTTAATGATGTAAATGGTTTCTAGGCAAGTTTTTTTTTATTTACTCTTGGCGAGATCATACTTGGTCATTTTGGTAGCTTCGACCCAGCGCCTTCATACCTGTTGAAATGGGGTATGCCTGTTGCATTCCTGTTGCAAGACGTCACGTTAGCGGTCGCGGTAGCTAGGTGATGGGAGATCCCGTTGCAGTGTGTGGCTAAACATTGGCTTCTTTGTTGCTTCAGTGCATGCATGGTTTGGCACGAAGTTACACCAGCAGTCACGGTGGTGAGGCTAGGCGGTGGTTGCTAGGCAATGACGCGGTGAAGTTTCTTGCGGGGAGCAGTCGTTTTTGACTTAACAACTAAAAAAAAATAGACACCGTCGATTGGATCCTTGTATCTTGCAGCACTTTCATTGATACCACACTTGTAGAAGTTACAGAAAAACTAACGTGTAAAGTGTTACAAAAATAACTTACACTGTTGTGGTACATAAAACCCCGTAATTAGTATTTATTATTATCAATACTCTCAACACCTTCCTTTCCTTTCCTTATGTCTGTAGCGCCCTCCTTAATCCATATACAAGCTAGCAACGAAACAAGTGGAATGGACCCAGGAAATGAGGGGGAGCGATTCGGAGGGGACCTTAATCATTGACTTAGGCATCAGGTAGTGGCACTTGTACATCACCGTTCCTGTACCCTGGTGTATTCTGTTGGTTAAAAGGGCACTAAAGAGAAACAATGAGTTGATTTAGATTGACAAATGGCACTTTTTGAGAACTGTAATGTCATAAGTTTTATTATCATAAGTTTATTGTTATTTAATTGTATTGTTATTGGAGAAAATCGAGGTTGAAGTTTCATTCTTAAATTTGGTATTGTAATCTCCGTGCGTGACGTAAGAAATCACACAATGTAATTTTTGTGTTTTCGTGAGATTGGCTTGATGAAATTTTCTGAAACTACGTATGCTAGGTATATTGCACCCACAGATTACATTGTACTTCAATTGTACCGATTAGAAGCTCTGTAGGACTCAGTAGATGCCTTCAAAAATCTATGACGTGACAGTTTTTGATGCGGGAATCTCAAGGCGGCATTTTCACTTGCATGATCTTTCCGCGCGTTTTCTCGCATATGAAGCATTGTGTCGTGGTAACAGGGGTGTTTTCAGGATTGTAAAATTCTACTTTTTTAAGGCGCGCAAAAGGGTCCCTTTAAGGTTGTGTTTCACGCGCTGCCGAAGTGGATCTCAGAGGCCACGCAGAAAGAAGCGCATGGTTGAGATATGCACCGCAAGATGAAACGACAGGCTACAACTTCAGAAACAGTTCTGTATTTATACCACATTGCACAACAAATTACGGAGAACAAAAATTTGCTGTTCGAATTCCTAACCTCCTCAATGACTATACCTTCACCATAGATCTCCTCAAATCCGGAATTATGAAGCAAGCGTATCAAAAAACAAAGGAATTATTATTTTCAGAGGACTAATGCAAATAAAAGAATACTATGGTTCTGTGTGAAAGTTATGTATTTTGTTGATTTTTCTTTTCTTTCCCCACATGTGGATTGCGTGCCCTACAAGTTGTTCCTAGTTTTTTTTTTTGTGTGTGTGTATGTGTGTGGTAGATGAGTTTAATACGATTTTCTTTTTCTGCTCGAGAGTAGCGCGTGCATTTTTTTTGGGTAAAATTTTACTTATGTTTTCTTCTCTTTTTTTGCTATATGACTGTGAAATATTTATCAGAGGTGTAGTATTTGATTTCTATGTACCCTTTTATATTTGTGAATGTCTTTCTGCTGTTGCTGCTGTATGGGCGGCACGACCTAGTCAGGCAATGTTTGCCTTTTGCCGTGCCTCCTTGGACAATTTAATAATTAATCTTAATAAACTAATAAAGAAAAAAAGAAAGATGGCACAACAATACCAGGTGCTTACAAAGGAGGATTTTTAAAAATCTTTCTGCACACATGGGAACTGCCTGCTGTTTCAGTGAACTCATTCAGTTGTTTTGTTGATTATCCTGGCAGTTAATTGGCCCGTGTTTTAGATTAACTTATGCTTCCGATGTCATATGTATCCTATATAACATTTAACTAGAACCAAAACTATCGTTTCTGCACTAGTTTTATTTTTCAAGACTTATAAGTATTCCGCACACTGGAAGTTAGCACTGAATATAAAGTGCTTAGATGGGAGTCAAGATTGTCACCCGCTGCTAGCGCTGCTAAAAAAGCTAGCATCTTATCGCACTGAGAATATTGCCTTGAGGTTAAACACTGTGCCCTGAGCAATGCCACTGGCCTGACTAGTTTGATTATCTTCACGATGGTCATTGTCAAGTTTTTTTCAATGTATGTGGCCGAAATCGTTGTGGCTTGTACTTAGTGTTGAAAATAAAGAAGTAGGGCAGGGGCTTGGGGGAGGCGAGAGACTCAGACAAAATGAAGAACGAAGAGGGAAGGCGGAGCTAGTCCTGATTGAGTAAACATCGTCGTCCAGTACTGTGATCTTGGGTCCTTCTTTTTGACATTTGGTGCCGAAACCCGGGACCGAACCAGGGACCTTTAGATTAGGCTGCTCACCATGTGGCCAGTTGGCAAATGCACGGAGCAAGCTCTGGCTACACTGTCTTGTCCTAGATGAAGCGACGACATCCCCCAAGTTTTCAGAACGTTGGCGAAGTGTTTTCTTCATGTACTATCACAGCGTTGCCCCCGTAAATTGGTGAAGAAGCTTGGTTCATGCATTTGCCAACTGGCCACATGGTGAACCGCCCGATACAAAAACTGTATCTGCTAGAAGCAGTGAAATGACTTTCTTATAGCTTTCCTTCCCTCCCCCTTAGAGGATGTTGAAAATAATTAAGTGGGGCAGGGGCTTGATAAAAGCGGAGCGAGCCCTGAGGAAATAAGCATCCTCGTTCAGAGTCGCAATCACGGGGCCTTGTTCTTAAAACTTCTCCTATATTCAACATTCTCTAAGGGGGAGGAAACAAAAGTTCCAAGAAAGTCATTTCGCTACTTCTAACAAATACAGTTTCTGTATCGGGCAGTTCATCATATGACCTGTTGGCAAATGCATGGTGCAGGCTCTGATCACTAAGTCTCATCTGTAATGGAGTTACGTCATTCGGACAGATGCTCTTGTACAGTCACCACGTCTGCGACAATCTGGAATGAAGCCTGCTTATGCGACACGAAAACGATGCGAGCGCTTCCATCTTTGTCGTTTCCGTCTTGGTGCGGCGTTGCAGGTGTACTGCGCACTCAGGTTCTCGTGTAGACTGTTTACTGCCTCGTTTTGGATTCTTCTTCATGAGGTGCCTGGGTTACTGCAGCGACATTTCTTGCTGTGGCCCACACCCTGTGCTTTGCTCTCCCGCTGCTCTTTATGAATATGATTATGTGTGTGGTTCGTGTGGTGGTTCTGCTGTGGCTCCATTTCCAGGAGCCTTCACTTCACTTTCAGAGGCAGAAGCAAAGTTCTCACTTGCGTTTCTAGGTGACCATTCTCTTGTTTTGTTCCGGTATCGTCCAATTCTTCGAAGCTGAGCGGAACCAAGCTCTGACATCCAGCCTGGGCAAACAACGACAGGGGCGCCACCAGAAACTCAGGACTGCTGGCTTCATCAATGAGGAGATCGAACAAGCCATCGTTTCTGGTGGGCAAACTGTAGCCGGGTTCTTCATTCGCTCGCTTCCTCAGTTGTTCACTAACAGCAACACGTTCATCTTCTTCAATCTTATCATTCATGTCCCAGCTTCCATCATTTCGACTTCCGGAATTGGCTATCGCTTGATGCTGTTCCGTCGGTTTTTCCTCCTGCTTTGGAATGTCTCCACAATGCTCAAGTGGCTGTTCCTCTTCAGTTAGAATTACCAGCATAATGCCGCTGCTCTGGAGAATCTCGCACGCACGGCACTGCCACTTGATTGCTACCAAAAGTGGCTAGAAGCATAAAATTCTGCGGTGGCGGTTCTACGCTCTCGCACGCCATCACGTTCAATACTGTGTATTTTTTTTAACTTCAATCGAACTGTTTTCATATATTTCTTGACCTACAGATAGATTGCTTTCATGGTCCAAATTTGAGCCTTCAGAACATTTCGTGTCTTTTCCGTTGCCTTTGAAAATGCTGTCACAGGCAACAGTGTTTTGACGGACACCAGGTCGCTCGTACTTGCTCCTGGTATCTCTGATGTAAAGAAGAGGTCGATAGTATGTACCATGCAGGTGAAGAGACTGTCCGTGCTGAGTCAGGAAATACTGCCCCTCAGCGATTGCATGCATGATCTTCTCACGGTAGAGTGCAGCATCCTCGAATTCCTTGTCAACTGCCTCATCTTCAGTTACGTTGAGGATCTGCTTGTCCAACTGGCGGAGCTCAGCTTCTCTAGTCATCAAAATGGTGACTTGCCTTTTTACCTTGCACGCCTCGGTGTTGGAGTCTCGCAGTAGTCCTGTCAGTAACGTAACATTTCATGAGATACTGGCCCTGGCAGTCCCATTAACCTTCGAAGGCACTCGGCTGACGACATTGTAGTCTTGGAACGACCACTCACGGGTTTCGGCACTAAGTTTTAAGAACAAGGACCCGTGGTCGCGGCTCTGAACGCCGATGTTTATTCCTTCAGGGCTCGCTCCGCCTCCATCAAACCCCTGCCCCACTTCTTTATTTTCAGCACTTTAAACAGTAATGGCGAGTCTTATGTGGAAGTCTTATAAGAGTCATTTGTGCCTGCTGCATGTGTTGCAGGTATGATCTCGTCGACGTCACCCGCCAGTCTCTACAGCTGCTCATTTACGATGGCTACGTTCGTCTTAGGCGCTGCTTTTGGAAAAAAATGAAGGAAGACTTCGGGTAAGTGCGATGACTCGATAGCTTAAGTCGAAAACCTTTGCGTGACTTATATCGAACGCGACAGTTGACCATCGGTGTCGTCAGTGCGAGTGACAAAAAAAAGGGGGAATGATGCGACGACGTCATTCTGATGTCACATAGCTGAAATGTGTGATGTGATCGCGACATCACTGTGATGTCCTCACATGGCACCGTTACGTGGACGAATGTGGGCTGATCAAGGAGGCAGCGCGAAATTGTGCTAGAGGCAGAAAAAGCTCTCAGGGTGTGACGCGGAGAGTTAAAACTCAATACATCGAACAAGAAGTAAAAAAGAAGACAAGAAACGAAATGGCGTTTGCTCTCGAGTGGCTTTAGGTGAATGCATAAAAAATCCTGTGTTATTTTTTTTTCTTGTTCGATGCAAATGCCTAGCCCGTGTACTTGTGAGATATGCATGCTTGCTACTAAGTTTTGGAGTGAGTAAGTGAGGTTTTTGAAGTAACGTATATATGATACCGCGAGTATTCACATAATCATTGGTGTTGTGTTCTGTTTATGCAGTGAATCGCGTTATGTATTTTCTGCTGGAAAGAAGCACGTAGGACGACCTATACAGAGCCCTGAGGGAGTTGTTAAGTATACGGATATACGTACATCTCATAACAATCACTGAAACATATTCTAGCATCAATGTAGAAAAAAAATGTACACATACGTATGTACATAAGTATATCTCATAGCAACCAATGAAACAAATCCCAGCATCAATGGAGGAAGGGAATTTCGCGGGCTAATTTCCTTGCTTGACACAAGGTTAATGAAAAGCAGCAGATAATGAAGCGAAGAAATGTGTAAAAGACATCAATCGTACTGATTTAAGAGTATTGTTAATGATTTTTCAGATGTGAAAAAAATAAAGTTAATGAAAAGGCGTGTTGCCGGTATCGACGGAACTTGCAGCCTTCAGATTACGCACCCGATGCTCTTACCAACTTAGCCACGGCATCGGTCGTCCCCTCGTCCACATTGTCGGACATTTTATGGGCATGCCAACTTGGAAGGGTTAGGTCAATGCCGCTCGCAGTCATGACGACGACTGTGGAATCTTTTGTTTGCCGCGTTTGCGCCAGTAGATTATTACTCGGCAGCTGCTCACATGTCCATGGCTATGGCACATGCGTTCTTGGAAATTTTGTGCTTCACGACACTGCTGACCCGTTTCCAGTTCGAAATAATTTTTTAATGTGCACCGATCCAAAGTCCATCAAAGTTGTGTGTGCTGACGTGGTTTAAAATTACACATGCTAGGTGGGGATAGTTGCGCCAGGTGGCTTGCCGTTTTTGGAGCTCCCTCAAACTGAAACAGAGACTGGTCAGTAATGAGGAGCGTGTAAAAAAAAAAAAAATTATTCACTTATCACAGACCCCATCCAGCGATGTGCTGTGTTATGACTAACAGCCCCGCCGCGGTGGTCTAGTGGCTAAGGTACTCGGCTGCTGACCCGCAGGTCGCGGGTTCATATCCCGGCTGCGGCGGCTGCATTTCCGATGGAGGCGGAAATGTCGAGGCTCGTGTGCTCAGATTTGGGTGCACGTTAAAGAACCCCAGGTGGTCAAAATTTCTGGAGTCCTCCACTACGGCGTCTCTCATAATCATATGGTGGTTTTGGGACGTTAAACCCCACATATCAATCAATGTGTTATGACTAACTGACAGCCAACAACATATTGCAGTAAAAAAAATAAAATAAAACGGGAGGCCAGATTTTTGTGTCAGTACCCCTTTAAGACTTGAAGCATCAAGACAAATCTGCTGGTGAGGACAGGCTCACAAGAGTCTAAAGAAAGCGGGGCCTTGTGAGTTCGACATCTTCATCTTCCCATTTGTCTATTCCTCTTCATTCCCGACGATTAAGTGATATGAGCAACATCTGCATGCTGTGTGAGGACAAAGGGTAAGGCGCTAAAGAGACCGGGACAAAGTCGGCACGTGCATGAAGCGACTTGCACGGGCTCTAACGTTGTTCTTGTGTTTTTAGCGTCACACCTTTTGTCCACAAGCCAAATAGCTCAACAGCATGCCCTGGTACCCGTTATGAATTTGTTTTGTTAAATTTTTGAGAGAGAAAATAAGTAGAGAAAAAGGCAGGGAGGTCAACTATAACTCTAGCATCGGGTTCGCTACCCTGCACTAAGAGGGAGGGGGAAGAAAAATGAAGACTGAGAGAAAAGTAGAAAATAAATAATGAGTGCGGGGTTCATTACCATGTAAAATGTTCAATAAGGCCTTGACTGATTTTCTGTGCGAAGACTGTTAACTCTTGTTGGCATTCTAGCACTGACAGCTCTGACAAGGGTTGTCGTCAAGGTGGGCTAACACAGTAGCTAGCAGCAATCTGTCAGCACTGCATTGAGGGCAGTGTAAGAGAATGTGCTCGATTGTTTCATCGCTGCTGCAATGATTGCAAGTGCCACTGCCTTCCATGCCTATTCGGAAGGTGAAAGCGGCATCAAGCCGCAATCGGCGAAGCACAGTTGTCTCGACTCAAGAGAGTCCGGACGGAGCCCGAAGTCGATGAGATAGATCCAGCCTAAACGCAGTCGCGTGTGCCTTAAACTTGCTGTGGCACACTGAAGCTGCCATAAAAATACGAAAGATCACTAATGAAGCTGTGAAGTTGTTGAGAACTTCTCGCAATATTAACTGGAACCCTTTACTTTTTCAGGAGGCTTGCCGTGCTCATGACAGACATGTTTAATGACCTCGATACCTTGTTGGCGTCCGATCCACATTTTCTTCTCGGAACGTGGCTACGGGATGCGCGAAGCTGGGGGACAACAGAAGAGGTATTTGTTAGTTTGTGTTGCATGTGTTATCAAGAAGTTATCATTTACCAGGCTGATCAGTTGCATATTGCGGGCTCATTCTTGCCGCCTAGCCAATGAGCCTGCAGGATTAGTGCATGCTCGCTGTTGTGTATGAATGCTTGCTCTAGCTCCAGTTGGCTTCTGCCAAAATTTCCACGAGTTACGATCCTGCACACGTTGGGTGCAACCTGTGCAAATGCTTAGTAAGGCGAAAGCCTTATATTGTTCATACATTTCCAAGATTTGGCAAGACTTGACAATAGACTGTGAGACCTTGCAGGCAGTGGCTCCAATATTAATGATGAAAAAAAAAGACGAATGAGTAATAAAAGTCTGCCTAAATTCGCATAATGCTCAAGTGCCAACAACATACCCAAAATTACATGAAGATATGAATGATTTAACACTGACGTCACAGACCATCAAAATTTGTGACATCATGATGATGTTATCAATCAACATTATCGCTTAGTTGGCTGATTTCTTAGGCAATGCACAACCACTAAAGGCGCGGTAAGCTTTCGTGGGGTGGTGAGGCGGGAAGGATTAATACAAATGGCTCAGATAAAAAAGGAGTGAAATAAACAAAAGATGTTTTCCGCCTTCGAGTCTTCTTAGGCAAATGAGTAAAGGTTCGTATGTATTTTGTTGCGAAGCGTGTCACTGACTTTGAAACTTTTGGCTTTCGCGGCATAAATTTGCACATTATAATACCTTGGAAAGTTTCTGTGTTTTGCTGATTTTGTGGCACGCTTTTTTTTCTGTTTTTATTTATGAATGTTCGATAACACATTTGAGGTAAGCAGTCCACTCTGGTGGTTCTGATTTCTCTTCTGATATGCCAAAGGCTCACAATCTTTCAACTTTTTTCTTTCTTGTACTGCAGGAATCGGATTTATACGAGTACAATGCACGCAATCAAATCACACTTTGGGGCCCGAAAGGCGAGGTAAGGCTTATTTATTCGATCTGCATATTTGTGGTTTTTTTTCATCAATTGTGAACGATTTCACATTTGACGTCACACTCAACGTTCCAGATTCGGGACTATGCAGCCAAGCAGTGGTCAGGGCTTGTGCGAAGGTGAGCGATGCTCGTGAATGATGTCCACAATACATATACTATTTGAGTAGAGAGGCTTAGCTTCTCAGTATTGCATGAGTAGTACATAACAGTAAATATTTGCACAGTTTAATAGACAATTTCTTTGTGTGTTTGTGTGCAAATGAACTATTCTGCTAATGGATGCAGTAAAAGTCAGGAGTTGTCTCCTAGTGACAGCACAGAGTCTATCCGTTAACACTTTATTTTATAGCTCCTCTTTTTTTTTTGCACATGTGAGCGCGATTTTGTTCTTTCAGTTACTACATGCCCCGTTGGGAGCTCTTCCTGAAATCTCTGTGGCGTAGCCTTGAGCAGCACGTTCCTTTCAACCAGACGCTGTTCGACGAAGAAGTATTTAAGCAGGTCGAGGAGCCTTTCACATTTCAACGGAACACGTACCCCACATCGCCGCAAGGTACGATATTTGAACTAAGCCTCAGACCTGCAGTTAACCTCTAGATATAGCATATTCTTTATTGGTACCATGTGCACACGTGTTAGTACCGCACTCTAAGAAGTAAAGGAGCAAGAGGGGTATCGAGGCTGCTCCTTTAGAGGAGTAACTAACGCGCCACAGCCGTTCCTCCTTTTTGGGGCGGTTGCTCCTCAAGGGAGCAAAAGTTATTTTTCACAAAAAAAGAACCACATATTGGTTGATTTGAGCCGCATGTCGGTGTGCATGCAGGCATGTAATTAAATGTACGATTGATGTGGAAGCGTTACATTCATAAATAAATTGCGGATTATTTACAGCAAACACGTGAGATTCAAACTCACAACTGCTCATTCAGCATCCGCATACGCTAACCATTACACCATACTACGCTACGACACCACCTGGAAGGAAACTGGTTTGTGTAGGCACCGATGGGTCGTTTGCACACGGCACGAACATTCCGGCAGTTACTCCAAAAAAGGAGCGCTTTTTCTCCACAAAGAAGAATCCTCGTTTCCGTGTCGTGTGCAAACATTTGCACACATTTCGTCTTTCGGAGAAGCAAGGGGTAACTGCGCAGATTCTACGGAAAACTTTTTATAGTGAACGCGGTTGGTACTATGTGCACACGTGTTAGTATAATATGCTGGTACCATGGTTTGTTGTTACCATGCGCACGTGGTGCAGTTTGCTGTTGGAACAAAACCTGGAGGCCTGATGGTATTCAAATATTCGTGAAGAGGTAATGTCACTTGAGTGAACGCTTTGACAAGTGAACTCGTCTTTGAAGAAATGGCAACTTCGTCCTTAGGAAACAAATACCTTGAACATTACTTCCCAGAAATGCAGTTGCTACTTTTGTGCAAAAAAAGAAAAAGAAAGTTCTTCATATGTGACACAGTTCACGTGAAATTACGGTCAAATGAAGTAATTTATATGTCTTCGAGATTTATTAACCTCTGTGTGCTTTTGATCGCTAATTGAAGCAATATTTTGTTTGTGCCGTGCCACAGGTGACTCCATCGCCATCTGCACCGACTTGCAGAGGAAATACAGGCTCCTGCTGCTTCAGAATCAGTGAGAAGAAAAAGAGAGACAAAAAAAAAAGAGCCGTCGATCGTCTCACGTGAAGGCTAACTGCAAACAATAACAAAAGCAACAACACCAACAACCGAAATTTGTAGCACGCATACGCCAAGCCACCATTCTGACCGCGTAGCTAGAAGTCACCCGACTAAGACCCTGGCATGAATGCTTGCGGACTCCGAAATCACAAGTGCGCATGCGCAGTTCTTTGTGATTACGCCATACACCATTGTCATGCGGCTTCTCGTATCGTCTGCCGAGGCACTATTTGTACACCACATGCTTAAACATCTAGAGCTTACTAGTCATTCGGCTTTATACCAAGGTTTTTTATATGCTTACACCATTGCCCGTATGCGCTCACGTCATCAAAGCTGCCATATTTTAGGTACATCCAGCACAGTGAAACCAGCACCCTATCTGCATCGGCTAATCGTCCAACTATCCTTAAAGACACAGAGTGGTGGTCCTCTTAACAAAATGATGTACAGCCGTACGCACGGTTAACAAGAACGGCTCGACGTGTGGCCTCACCTCGCTTTGACTGACGTCAGCGCCGCCAAACATTGGATGTGGTATGTACCCTGTATGCGCCATGGCCTCCGAGATGGCGGGCCACGCCGCGCGCTTGCAATCTCGGAGACCATGCATGCATGTGCTGCTCTGTTACCGCAGAAAGATAATGTGTGGTCTGGAACGCGCTTGTTTTTCATCGTCATCGAGGGACGACGGTGGACATGGCTTGACCCTAAGAAGCTTCGCCCCTAAATAAAATGTTTTCGTTTACAGTTTTACATTACATACGGCTGACAACGCACCACTGTTGATGCGAGTAGACGGCCTCATGCCAGGGATCGCTCGCCGAAAGCTACCGGACCCATCGTGTGAACGGGGTTTGCATACAGTGTTTTGCCTTTTCAAGCGACAGATCGCGCGACTGCGATTGTTGTCGCGCGTGTCGTTGCTGATGCGTGCATTTTTGCGCGTATTGTGTTTATAAAAATGTTCAACAATTTAGAGCACGATGTACTCTACTGTGGGAGAGCTTTAAGCTGTCCCGATAGAATGGCATACGTAGTACCATAAGGGTGAATGATTTGTGCTTAGATAAAGTGGTTAACGATTTAGAGTACTTGGTACCCTACTATGGGACAGTTGGAAGCCGTCCCGTCGGCCTCACACTTGATGAGACCGAATCCACAAAAAATTATACGTAGTTGTTAAGCAACAAGGCAAACTACAGAGTGTTTCCCTCGCACGTCCAATGCATTTTTGCAATAGTTACATTCGCACCATGTCGCTTAGGTCATCGCTGTCATAGCGCTCATTCGTGCAACTTGAGCTGGTTCGAAAGTGGGGAAAAAGCCAAAAGTATTCAACGGAATGGCGAGCGAAATCGCCAGTCATTGGCGATGTGGAACCGGTGGCAAGATTACTGTCCGCTCGATGACGAGGGGCTAGACGGTTATACGCAAGGGGAGGCCGGCCTCTTGCGCAATCGCCTCGAATGGGGAGGTGTTTGCAATCTGGCTGCCGGTTTCATATCACCGATGACTGGTGGTTTTGCTCGCCACTATAGGTGATGCGAACAAAGGCTGCGGTTGCATTTTGCTCACGCTTCAACCCTCTGCAAGCAGCCGCCGAAGCGCGCAGGACTACGCGCTCGCGTGTTCCCTTTCGTAAAAATAGACAAAGTACTCTTCATCAGCTCGTTCTGATGACTGCTTTGACACCCACTCGTGTTCGCACCGGCCACGCACCCACATTCCTAACAACACTCGGTGCCAGTAGTGTTATCTTCTGCTTATTCGCAGGGTGCAAGAAGGAAGAAAAAGAGGGTAGTTAAGAAATGTAGGCGCTGAACGCGGCTGTCGCGCTGAATGAGCATCTCTGGTCAACTGAAAGGATATTTGAGAATGAAGTAGTGCGTACGACACGGACGAACCGAGAAATAGCAAAAGAGGCGCTGCGAGCGCTAACAACGTGGTGTTACTTTATTGAACCAATTGAGGCGTTGTATAATATTGGCACAGTCCAGTCAGCCCGCGAGATCTAAACGAAAAGTATTGGAGGCACCATTAAAGAGTCGATAACACTCAGCTCATTGAGTGCAATATCAACGCAATTAAGCCAATAGGAAGGGTAATTGGCCCATAACCGTGCGTGTTGACACTATACAATGGTGGACTAGTCCGCTCTTCTCGCATCTAGGTTGAAATTGACATGGTTGCATTGTGATGAGAAAAAAATATATATTGTCATTCTGATATACGTGCTATTATTCAAGTAGGACTCAAACCTTTAATGACAACATTGTAAAGGGTACACGAATCCAGACTGATTGGTTCATGGCTTGAGTAAAAAAAAAAAAAAGACTCACTATGGCAGAACATCAGAAGGAGCATGCAACGGCAACATTGTACACTTCGCGTCAATAGTTTATGAACCACGAAACGCAAGAAGCTGAACATTCCCACCGCTTCGGCATCCAGCCTTCAATTTAGGTTTCTGGAATATTCTAAAATGTTGTACCAAGACGTAATGTGCAGTTCGGCCGAACGCTCTTCCAAATTGCTGGCCACTCGAGGCGTTTTGAGACTTACAGTTCCCTAAACGTTCTGACACCAACTCTACATATGCACTACTTACATCTACCCATGCGTGCAGTTGACTGTCTGCGACGGCAGTCAGCTAAGGCCCATTCTGGCCACCCTACGTCAGCTTTAGAACAGCTTTCGCAAAGCTCTTCGTTAGCATTTGCCGCCACTGCACATGCGTCGTGCGCTATCCTCTTGCGGGACCCCGCTAGTGACGGAAATAGTCGTACGCTATTCTGAAACTGCCCAGGATATATATGTTAACGGTTACGGTAATCTAAGGTTGCGTTTTGTATTGCGGTGTTGAAACGGGGAGCTAATTGCACTGCTTTTACCGGTTGCTCTGTCGCTTGCCGAAATTTCGAGGGTGAAAAGTGATATCGCCTCCCTTCCCTCTCCGTCTCGACGCGACTGCGCTCATCTGCACTGGCGGTATGCGAGTGACTCGACGAAATGGAAACCGGTGACCATTTCGTCACTCAACTCAACTCGTTGCCGTGGCAACGCTCTTTCTTCTTATCACCTTGGCGAACACTGCAAGTAAGCATGGCTCCCCCGGTAACAACTAGCGACAGCTGCAGTTGCCGAGTCTGTTTGCGACCAGGGGCTTTTGTGTACAGGAGGGCAATCGCGCTTTTCGGGCCCCACAAGGACTTGTGTACACGTTGGTGCGCAGATACTTCAGAAAAAACTTTGACGTATGTGCTGGCTACGACGTGTGCAAGCGCTTACAGACGCCGTAGATCGACGTGCATCGGGAAACCGCCGCCGAGTAATGGTACTTCGAAAACTATCTTCAGTACCGCGCGCTTTGTGAAGTGTGTGTTTTTTTTGGCATCAGTAATTGCAGTGTTGTTTAGTTCAATTCTATCAGACTTAAACTCCACCATAACCTTCAGTAATACAACTCGCTTGAAGGCGAATGTGCTCACGCAACTTGTAAAAGTGATGCTCGCGATTGCGCTTTCTGCAAGACGTGGCTCTAGTATTGGCGGTGGACTTTACGAGGTGCCGAGCTTATCACCGAGCTATCATGATTGGCGCGGTGCAAGAAGCTACCTTTGTGAACGGAAAACTCGTATGTGGTGATGCTTGAAATGCATTTTAAGCTTAGACCAACGTGTGCTAGATAGGCACCGTGCATACATTTGGAGCCGCTAGTTACTCCAGTTTCTAGCAAAACAGAAAAAAAAAATGCTGTCGTGGCCACTTTGGCGACTACGGCAGCGGATTTGGCGGGATACGAGACCAGACGACGCAAGTGGAGGCAAGCCAATGCGTCATGCTTTTGTGCATCGCTTGAGGCGTTTAAGTTTGCTTCCAAAAGACGGTGAATTGTTTGAAGCCGTTAGAGTAGCCTAGTGTTAGCGCATGTGCTCTTTTTTTTTTTTTGCCAGACTTCATGCACCAGAAGGCGAACGCGGCCACATCAAATTCTTGGCGAAAACGTTACAAGCTCGTTGAGGGAAACTGCGTGGCGCGCGTAGCGCGGGCTGTTTCGCTCACTTAACGATCAAAGCTTACCATCCTCGGGCTAACGTGGTAGCAAACTCGATCGATGGCAGCTTGAAACAGACAAAAACGATTGTTACCGCAGCGGTCGCTTCAGGGGTGCTATCGCGTAGCGATTATCGACTTATGATATGCTATTCTTATCGTTCAACACGTTCTGCCTCGCGTCATGTGCGCATGAATATTTTTGGTAAGTGTCCGAGGTTTCCTAAGCGTTTAAGGGAAGGGATGACTTTTTATTAGCGAGCTACGTTCATCTTAGGGACGGGAAATTTGTTATCCTGTTCCAGAACGACGTAGTCTTGCTCCACACGATTTGCGCTACGTGACTGCTAACGAGTATATGCGTCAATAACGTACGGTTAAAGAAAAAGTATAACGCCTTCATACCCTCGCCTGTTCCTGGTTTAGCTCTATGGTAGATTACTTACTTGATCGTCATGCAGAATGCTTGGGTCCCATTTTCGCTGGGACGATAAGATATATTCTTAGCTTTAGTCGGGTCATTATTGACGATTTCATTTTTTTGTTAATGTCCTCACATATAAATTAAACTGTCAATCACCTGTGGCGCATACCAGGGTCCGTGATAACGGGCATGTCTCTGGAGGAAAGGGTTTGAAACGCGTCGTATGCGACGGGGCTTTCACATATTTTCGTCGCAATTGTCAAACCCGTGTATCTTGCCAAACTGATTTTGGTCTACCCCAGCTTAAGGGTGGGCATCCACACGTTGGCGGCTAGATAGATACATCAATAGATAGAAGCACTCAGTGTCTGCAGTGCGCAAAGAAATGCTTCGCATTTAGTATTCGCGCGCGTGTCTTCTTGACGCAGCGAATATAATGTGGACCCCAGAATGCATTCCACGTTCTTGAAATGGGCGTGCGTTGTGGTGGGTCCGAGTACCGCTGGACACTACACACAGAAAGCCGTGAGCAATGCCACAACGTGTCGTTGAGCTTGTATACACGCCAGGGCACTATGAGCCTCAGCGGCCGTTGTCTGTTATGTAACATTAAACCGTCTCCCGCTAAAGGAAACCATATGTGGATGCGAAGCAACAGGCGGTACCGCTTACACTCATGGCCTCTGAGATGGCGGGTTTGACGCGGCGCGCCCGCAATCTCGGAGGCCATGTTACATTAGAGTTCCTCGATGTGCGCGCCTGGAGGGCGGCGCGCGCATCGACACCATATATTGGTGAAAAACGTCATCATATAAGAATTCTAATGAACAAATAATAGAATAGGCTAATGGTGGTAATTTAAATACTTAAAATGAAAACAAGCCTGATTCATTTAAAGATTTTTTTTACCGCTAAACAGACTCCAGTGACAATGACTTAATGAACAGGCTCCAAAGGATAGAATATTTGATTTAATAAAATCCGCTTTAATGTGAATATACACCGCTTTGAGAATGTTTCTCCTCAAAAAAATTGAAGTGTTAGAATTATGAGAAACGATGCGTTCGCGGGCCGATGTTTCCTTTTCTTTAGCGCATATATGCGCAAACTTGGAGAAATAAACAAAACCAATTTATTTCGCCAAAACAATTCCTGTGATTTCAGAAAACAGAATAAGGCTTATATATATATATATATATATATATATATATATATATATATATATAGTAAATAAGAAAGAAAAGTGGGTGAAAAAATTCGTTTCTTTG